GTGTATTACTTATTTACCCCTCCCTAACAGCAACATCATACATGTAGCTGTGCTGTCAAGAGCCAATTTATAATCACCTGCGATGCAAATTGTCTTCTTTTGAAGCTAAGCATCATGTCCATCTTGGTAGCCATGTCACGACTGCGAATTGGGTTTTTATGGGTTTCATTTAGATTCATTTCATCCTAGTAAAGAAATAATTTATTGGATATGAATATACTATTATACATGTAAAGAAAATAAGCAAAATTAYTCCCCAGCAAATGTTTAAATGAACACTTGTCTAACATCAGTAACTGTTATTAAGTTTACATTATATTATATATTATATTTACATTTATATTATTTGTAGATCTAAATGATATGTGACAATGATTCACAACATAATACCCATATTGGTATATTTAATAAATTAGGAATAAGATATAGATATAATACTGGGAAAATTTCCATATATCAACAAATACAATTAAACTGTGAATTTTCTGATATCTTGAATTAGATACTGACTGCATACATGTATTATGTTTTTAGTTTTACATTTAAATCTATTTTGTATTACTTCTTTATCATTCAAATAKCAGTATTTTAGATATTATCCTATGTAGTATTGTTGATAATTTTGTTTAAGCTGAAAATAATATAGATTGTACAATCAACGTACAGATTCAAATTTAACACCAAAAATAATTGTACGTCAATCATTTTTATTATCAAGGTAATACAATATTTGAAAACAAGGGTAATAACTATTACAAATTGAACATTCCATTCATGCTTGTCAACTGACTTGTCCATACAAAATAGATTGATTGATAAATTTAGCAGCTTGTTGCTTAACTCCTATAATATGACTCAACCGATGTAAAATATGAAATATCATGTAAAAAGCTGCTTACACATTGTAGATGGAATGATGTGAGCTACAGTCAAMAATAAAAAACTTCGAGATACAATAATAATAATAACAATAATAAATTGTACATGTCACGCCAAAGTCACACAGAGAAATATAAAGAACCTTCTAGGAGGTAGTTTTATATTTATATCTTTCTAATATAATTGTGACTTGTATTTCAATTATAACAATTCTTATAAATATAATGGCAACAGCAAAAACGACAATCTATATGTACAACAGCTGGCAAACAGTCTGTTTTACGATTCATTTGCCAGCATCAAAACTGTCACGGTTTTCAATATTTGGAACTGGCAAGGAACGAGGGAAATTAAATAATGAAAGCATTAAGGGCAACTGCCATACCAAGTAATAAAAGCAAAATAGTCAGTAATATTTTAATCGATGGTAAAATATTCTACAGGTTGTCTGTAGATATAATATTCTACGGTTTTTATGTTGAAAACAAACACAATATCGACATTAATATTCGTTTTTATAAAATTAATTAGCTGTGCGAAAAGATCTAATCCTAAAATGACTTTGATGTCTGTTATGGAATTAACTCTGCGCGCCTTCTCTAAACATCAATAAAGGATTCGTTTTAATTATTTCAAAATAAGGACTGGCGCGGGTCAGACAAAAATATTGCATATTTAGTCGCACTCATCACTATAAGTTCGCCTTGAGGGCGCTGAGTCAATTCTCTAACAATTTGCGTTAAAGATAGATAGATTTGAAGATGTATGGTTAGACTAATGTTCTTGTATGAAGTTAGATGTAAACCACCTTTGTGTTGGCAATAATTGAGTACGAAGTAAAATATGTTGACCACAATGTGCACCGTGCACACCCGGTCAGATAAGCTAAGCTTGTATAGTACACACACTATCAGAGCTTACTCTCTTTATTCTTCTATCGCCAATAAAAGACAGACGAAGCACAATACAAAGAACTCAGGTTAATTCAAAGATGTAAGCTAATTGTTTATACTAACCAACATCTTCTCGAACATCTTGTTGAACTCATCTGTCGGTAGATGTCTGATTCGATCTAATTCTTCGTCTAATTCTTGGTTGCCCTCTCCTTCTTCTTCTTTCGTACTGGCCATACGTTCCTTTTTATGACCATTATACTTGTCCTTTTTAGACTTCGTCGTCCTCATTGAGGCAATGCGACCCATCTTTCCCAGCTTGAATAATATATACATAAGTACTTTAATACTTGAGACAAAAAAGAAAATAATAGAACATAGAGATTGTGGATTTCCACGAACAACTTACGAGCGAACCACTGGCAGCATTTTTATCGCCCAGTCTGTCACCCATTTTTGTCAAGTAAAATCAACAAACARCAAATCGCCAGTTAGTTTAACTCATGAAGGTTCCGTCTACCAGCTTACAGAGTCTTAGGATGAGTGAATTTTAGAAAATATTAAGTTTTGCTTCAAGTTAGAAAGTCCTTCATCATTCAGCAAACGGCTAAACTATTGAGCTTGCGCAATGAAGCTGTTTTTTATTTTGGTTCCCAGAGTTCATTGCGCTAATGCTATAATAGTTGTAGCCGTGATTTTAATAGAACCAAAAATTTCATAATAACCCTCTTTATATACCATTACCGATTAGCCATAACGTAGTAGCTACTTCCTTATTTTTTGTGTGGATTTATCAATTTCCACATCAAAATATGGTTTACAAAGAAAAAGTGAAAAAAGTAATCCAACAATCTAAACAATTTAGAAATTTTTGAAATGCCAACACAAAACAAAATCACTCAGATACTTAATGTTCAAAATATCTCGACATATTGTACCCCATTATTAAGAATCACGACATCAAATGTTTTCCGCTTCAACTGATAAATACGTAACGTTTGAGAACTGAGGCACGCCATGACACGATTCAGTCTACTGACTGAATACTTTTACATTTGAATAACGAAAATCTCCAACAACGACAATTCAAGCACAAAAAAAAACAACAACTTGATTTGACTTCAATCTTTACATTCTAGTAGTCGAACTGGTATTACAGTATCACTTCATTCAGAATTCGCCTACCCAAGTGTAGAAAGTGAAATCAATTCAGAACTACATTTTTATGTAAACATTACAAAGTTTGYCATGGGAGCCGATATTTTGCTTGAAATACCTTGGTTTTTGCTGTCTTGGACGAAGGCTGAGCATTGAGAGAGCTCATGGCTGCTGAGTACTTAAAGTCACTCAATTAAAAGCAAAATATCACAAGAAACACTCAGCAAACACTCCTTAATCGTGCCGCCATTTGTATTGATATGAAACCGAGTGTGGTTTGACAATCGTAAGTGTCAAGTGGTTTACCAGGCATGAATTAATCAACGATAAAGTCACGTGACATTCTACTGAAATAAATGACCGACTTTTGATATCTGTAAACTGCACATTCCTTTAATTTTACACCGTTCTGCAGAATTTAGTTCTAGAATAGAAAGTCCTTCTGGAAATAGATTTTAAGTATTTGTGATGCGATTTTCGACCGGAARTACGTCACTGCTAAAACTTTCTATACTTTAAAATTGTCGTTTTCTCAAAAAGCTCAATTTTTTCCYACTGAATTYATTTACAATGTGCAGAAAAATTTAATCAGCTCTGGATTTCATGTATTCGTGTTTAGTTTGGACGAAATAGAATGCTGTAAGTACCACGCACTACGCATGAGCGACTTTGAGATTTCCCGCGAGCTTGAATCTGGAAGCAAGTAAATCCATTTCCAGCCTCAACGCCGACAAACTGACTGCTGAAAATGTCTGTCTCATGTAAGAACGTTTTCTTTGCTTTGATTTTTCTTATCTCTTCACGATTGAAGCTTGTGCTAATTMAATAAAAAGCTTTATTTCAGTCCTTTCAACAACTTTCTGCAACTGACAGTGAAATCGTAATCACTTCCCACAATTGTGGGAAATCAGTTCAGGTACATCTTACACATCGTTTGTGTATTTTATTTGAAGCATTGATTTCCATTTACTTTTAAATTTCTCAAGATCTTTGGGAGATCTGTTCAAGATTTCCCTCCACAGAAAAAAGAAAACTAACTGAACCATAACTGAATTAGCCTGCTAACAGGCGTTCCTGCTGGGGGGCCGAGAATGTCAAAAGAGACTCAAGTGTAGTAAATATGATATGAAGAGTATATACTTCGTCATGAAACTCAGAATTCAGTCAAAACAAACTACAATAAACATCAAATCCTAATTTGATTTTTTTTGAATTTATTGTTGAAAACAGAGAGTGACGGTGCATGTGAATATAAAAAACCTATAACTCTCCTAATAAATTTGGCAGTTGGCACCTTTTCGCGGTATCGCTGTGGTGATTTAGACGATCACGTGACCAAAACAGCGCGAAATCATCTTTGCTCTTGTTTGATGTACTATGCCTCARTTTGGCTTTTATTAGTTGATTCTTGCTATAATAAGATCAGYGATTCCAAGCAGATAGCCTGGGTAAGCATTGCAGTGCTATATGAAGACCGACGCTATCAGAAAAATTCTATTTAGCTTAGTTCTGAACTCAAGCATGAAATCGTACATAAGAAACTGTACGAAGAAACGTAAGCTTAAAGGTGCATTTATGACTGTCTGCCGCGTAAATAGATATGTTCCACATTATTGTTTAGAACTATTATCACCTTGCTATTATGTATCTTAATCATGAGTAAGCTTAATTGAAAGCGCAATTTATACCCAAATCAGTACTGCAATCAATCCAAGCGACGGGCATCACWGGAAGTGTTGGCTGAGGTATGTGGTAAATGGACCCCGCAAACGAACCTCGACTTCAACTTGTAAGAGAGCCTGTTCAGTTGCTGCCGCTAAAATTGAATTCCTTAGCATGCTGGGCAATGCCTTGAATGCAGGAGATATTTTAACAATGGCCGATTTTCAAACTAACTTTGAAGGTACAGCGAATTTCGTATGAGTGGGAAACGGACGGTACTGTGCTGTGACCGTAATCGTACTGTAACCAAATTCTAGTGCCCCATTGGTTCACCAAAATTGTGCAGGCCAGGTGCGGTAACTGTGCGGTAACCRTGCRGTAACGGTGTCCCACTCATACGAAATACGCTCTATTATGGAAGCCAATAACGTCGATGATGCTGCATGTTCAAGAAAAACACTAAAGCAATTGATTCAAAGAGAGATACCAGGCGTTGAGTAATGTGTTGGAAAAGATTTCAATGAATTTAAGTGCTTTATATATTCAAGTCAAATGTATCCAACCCAAGAGGCAAAGCTTGCTGGTACAATGATGTTGTTACAACATTACATCCTCACAAATGATGTGCAAACCTTCCCAGCAGGGTGCGGTAGGTGTGAGTGTGTATAATTATGATATAATTATTATTACTATTAATACAGCCTTTTGCAAAAATTATGAGAATTGTTGAAATATCTAAATATCATAATATCAAGTGCATGATCCCGTGCGATGCCCTTAGTCCCTTGTCTTTGTTGTTTAGTTTTTTTTGGTGACGTACTTATCCGTAGTTCTGAACATTTTCTCGATGTCAACAATGAATTATTCTAGCAAACCCGCGTGTTCCGGACAATATATGGATATGGATATTATGATATTTAGATATTTAGACAATTCTCATAATTTTTGCAAAAGGCTGTATATTATTATTATTAGTATTATTATTATATAGAAAAAATGTCAGTTTAGGAATGTAAATCACTTTGCTACATTTTCTAATGGTTTCACGGCAGGAACTTTCCACTTTCCACTTTATCTTTATCCAATGAATCTTTCTCTGTGGCAGGTCCAGAAGTGTCAACCATGGTTTGGTCTTCCACAGGAAGCCCATGAAATATAGAGGGAGGTAATTTTGTTTCAGAAGTAACCTGGCCAGGCAATTTCATTATCATCAGGTTGGGGTTTTCATCAACAGCCATCACCAAACGATCACCAATAATATGGGCAATTTCAGCATGTCCATCAGTAGTGAGGSAAGTGATCTTGTGGCCRTTGTGGACATTCCAGCAGTGGAATGAGTTGGTTTTTTGCTCTCTGGCAATGACTGTGTCTCCATTTGGTGTTAGGAAGATATCTGTTAACTGGCCACTAGTAATTCGGCGCAGAACAGTACCTTTGGCAATATCCCACACATCAATACCTCCTGACTGAAGACATGTGACTGCAATGTTGGCCTCTAGATTGATGGCTGCATTGTTGGCTTTTTCGTCACTGTCGCTTTCAGAATTCAATAGCTTGAGTATCATCTTTCCAGAATTGAGATCCCAAAGGTATGGGCTTTTACTTTCTACACTAAGGGTCACCAAATACTTTCCATCGTTAGATATCTTGCCATTGTAAAGAGAGAGTGCTTGTCCTTCCAGGGTGAGTACTTTATGTTGCTTGGTAACTGTATCGTAAACATACACTGGCTTTGTTGTTCCCTCTTTATGATTGATGCTATTGCGGGTTATTGAGGCAACAACAACTTTACCATTTAGACTGACYAGTAGCTCCTCAAACTTKTCTTTGTTTCCTAACTTTACAAGATCCACTACCTTCCCTGTATTGATGTCCCAAATCTTYAGGTTGTTACGTTTCCTAGTAAAGGATTTTAATYGAATAGTAATAAATRTATAGAATATCATAGAAATAATCTGGATATTTTTACATGTTAGAATTGAAAAATCTTTTTGAAGGGCAATAAAACCCCTTGAAATTTGAAAAAAAAAACTAAAAAGTTTTTTTATTGAGAGTGTTTGAATGAAATATGAAGATTGCCATAAAAATCCCTAAATGTCAGGACACATCAAATGCAATCATTTTAATTGATCCTCGAAAATTGAATTYTTGTGCTTTTCTTGGAATTTTGTAGTGAAAATAATGCAAACCCTGACATCTGAACTAAAGTTAAGACTACCATTTTCTTTTGTATTACAATTAGTCCCTATGTTTTTCTAATCTCTACAGGGAATACAAATGTGAATAACAAAGAAAATATGCAGAGCATGCTGGTTCTAGCTGGTAATAGAATGAAGCAATAATGCATATTGCTGCGTACTGTTTGCATTATGCAAAAAAAAAAAAAACACACACAAAATGTACCCTTATATGACAAACCAAAGTTCATGTACCTTGTAAGTGATATCATATGTTGGTCATCAATCATTCCAAATGCTTCCATTCTTTTACAAGCACCACCCTCTAGAGTCCTTTCAATCTTTCCTTCTTTTAGGTTAACGACCTTATAATGTGGAAGTTTCTCATCATATATAAATCCAACAAAACGAGTGCAATCTTGGGTGAGTCGAATGACTGATGGGTAGGTATGCATGCCTGAAAAMAAATAATTAAAAAATGGGAAATTATTTCACTGTTTCCGAGTATAAAGTGTTTTTTTAGTTTGCTTAAATTCATATTTAGCAAATCAAAATAGAGTATAATTAAGTCTACTGTGTTATTATAGATATTACTAAGAAATTGCAAAGGAATGCCCATAGTTCTTACAAATTATGCAGGTTCTTTCACAATTTTGAAAAAAACGACAATTTTTAGGGTCGCTGTAGTTTTAGGGCAACATTTTTCATACTGTAAATCTGGGATCTTAAATGTGACCTTATCATCTTCTTGAAATATGATATTATTCATATTGCCACAGGAGGCCCATGTATGCGATCTTTCATCATCAATAGACAGATCTCGATTTCTCTTGGATGAACACGAAACAATGGCTTCAGTTTGAGGCTGGAGTTTTATCTTTTGTCGAAAACTCCAGCGTCGAAATGAAACCATTGTTTCGTGTTCATCCGGGCGAATTTGGGATTGGTCTATTAGAAATAACAATGAAACAATCYGGAACTTACCTGAAGTCTGTCGTACTTTCTGTTCGGTATAGATATCCCAAGCACATAAACAATTCTTCATCTGCTTGTAAATAACGGCAATTGCATGTCTGTTATCGCATCCGGGCTGTACCAACGTCACTTGGTCAGTTATCTTGTACCCTTGATGTTCTGAAACATTCGTATCCTCGTTGTTTTCGTCATCTCCTTCACGTGTCCTGTCAAACACTCTTAGTATGAAATCTTGACCAATGGCTAGGATTATGTCGCCGTTACGAGTGATGATCTTTGTTCGGAAAACGGCGCTGCGAAGACAATTTTCTGACTTGCCCGTCTCCAAGTCTGTGACGCAAATTTCATACATGTCGATGCTCAAGACTTTCTTTCCGTCGTCAGTGACTTGTATGGCTGCCAATCCCTGAGTCCTTTTGCATGTGGTTATTTCACGCACAAGGTTTGCTGTCACAAGATCGTAGATGCGAGGATGGTCTTTTTCTGATGCCGGGACGATGATTACTTGATCTTTGGATGAGACTTTCATGTCTTGAATGCGATTTATTCCATGATACACGGACTTTTTGTAGTTGACCTTCACTTTATCTACTTCTCTTCCTTGCTTGATGTCAACAAAATGAAGGGTGTTGTCTCCATTTAGAACGTAAACCACGTACGTTTTCCTTGCTACAAGAAGGCCAAATTCTTCATCAACATTTATGCCTTTTACAGGGATGTCCTTCATGATCTTGCAGTCAGACGTCTGCCATACACGTAGCGAGGTTCGTGCAAGAGCAACGAGCAGATTTTCGTCATCTGCATACGAGACAGGCGGTTTCTGGTAATGCGTGAAACAATCGTCCTCGTCCACGGAAAATSTTTTCACGATCGCACCAGTTTGCGTGTTGAGGATATATATTTCATTACCACCAGCGAGAAGGAGTAGGTTGATGTCTTTGTCGCTCATGATATTCTTTGTGACACGATTCATGGCATCGGGAGATGTAACTGTAAACTTTCGAAGCTGTTCACCTGTCTGTAAATTGATGATCTGTATTTCTAGACCTTCCCCTGCGACAGTTGTTAAAGCCATTGTCTGATTGTCATTTCCAATGCTGATATACTCTTGCCCATAGTTCGCAAGTGGAATTGTCGATACTAGTGCTCCACCAGGGGCTGTTAGAAATTTGTGGTTCGGTATAAAGCATGGCGAAGAGGCATTYTTTGCTTGTTGAAGGATTTGACACACGTAAGGGTACTTGTCTTTTCTGTCTTGAAACTTGAACATGCGACCAAGAAGTTGCGTTGAGAACTGTTTTGGCTCGATGGTAAGTGGATGAACTGACAAGCGTAGGCATTCATGCATGAGTTTAACATCGGCGTCGCCAGGAATTGTAGATAAGTACATTTTGAAGTCATCTAGTACGTTGGCCACCGATGTTCCTCGTAGTTTTGCCAGCAAAAACTCGAAATTACACAAGGCTTCTTCTTTCATTTTGCTGTACTGCTTAGAATGGTATAAGTGATAAGGAAGCTCACTGAGTTTTCTCAAGTTGAAGATGGGCTTTTCGTCACTAGTACCAAAGAACATGGGCATTTCAGAGACGAGTCGATCGTCCTCCAGACTTTCTCCTTTCTTGTTCAYATAAGGCTTCTTCTTTCCCTGAGACCACGTGCCCAAAAAGTACTCACTTAAGTTGGCATRAATCTTGGTTGCTTGTTCTCCAGCCAAATACCTCTCTCTTGCTACCTCTATAAACTGTCGATGATACCAGAAGATGACCCTTGTACCGTCCGCTCCGCGATCGATGAGGTAGTCGTTGATGTCRCTACGTATTCGTATCCATARCAATGGKGGAAGYCTTCGAAGAGKTGGAGTCCAGTACTGGTATACATCATTGAGCACCTCATCATCTAGAGAAAGGAGATCTTCGAGCTCAGCTTCTGTTAGGCCGTTCTTGGATGCGGTGATGTATCCTAGTGCATGGCCAACGAGAAGTTTGCCATGGATTCTCTCTACCCGATCAAACAATCCTCTGATGATGTCTTTAATGTTTGGAGGAAGATCCCACTCTTTGAAAGGTGTATATGACTTCCATCTACAAGAGTCATCGAAGGCAAGCTTGAGGTAAAGTGGTAAAGGRCATTCCTGAAAACTATCCATCACTTCTTTTCTTTGTTTCGGCTGTAAWGCTTTCTTTGCCCSTTTAAGCCATTTGTCCAGTATTAGTCCAGCTTCGTCCAAGGGGATTTGAGGCACTTCTATAAGACACTCTTCTGGATACTTTAACTGCAAAGTAAAATAGCAACTTTCGATCACTCGATAGAAAAGGGCACCGGATAAAGAGAATATAAAACACTATCATTGTGACTTATCTTGATCCGAACAATGTTATTTGCCGTTGCATTCATTTTAAGGAAGCTCATTTTTTCGCATTATAATGCTTTTTAAGCTGATTTAACCATGCATGCATCTGGCGATTACTCATGAGAATTCAGATTCAAAACAGTTTTCTGATATTTCGCAGAATATTCAACTATAATAACAATTATATTCAGGATACCAAAAGCATAATAAAGCTTTCTTACCCTTAAGCTTGGAAGGCACTGATACTCTTCGCCTGGAAGCGTAGAAAATATCAAGTA